TAACTAGAATGTATCAGTCTGGGCTGGGGGTGGGTCATGGGTCAGTGGGTAAAAGTACCTGCCACCACGAAAGCCTAACAATCTGAGATCAACGAAAGTGTTGGTAATCCCAGCATATCTTTATGGGGAGATGGAGGTAGAAACAGGAAACTCTCTAGGGTTTATGCAGCACTGAAGAGATGCTGCCTCAAAGTAAAAAGGCTATGATTAGCTTTGAAAGGTTGTCCTCCTTAGACCTCCACAGGAACTGTGGCATGTACATGCCTACGTTCCCACAAACAGTACATTCACATCACACATAAACACAAATGCACACACAAAATACAAATAAGAAGCACCATCCTATGGCTATGGTGGCACATACCTATAATCTCAAGCATTCAAGAAGGCAGGGGGCAAGAAGCCTGATGCAAATTTGAGGGCAGCCTGGGCTACACAGACCCCCATCTCAAAACAGAAATACATGTAACAACATATAGCACTATTTTTCATTCACTAACTACGCTTTTCAAACAGACCTAATGAGATATGAGAACAAACTGAAAAAATTTTCTTTATTTCTTCAAACATTCTTTCTAAAGTATCTGCATTTGAGTCAGCTAGTAAAATATCATCCATATAACGATAAATTATAGATTTAGGAAATTTTTTACGTATCACTTCCAATGGCTGTTGTACAAAATATTGGCACAGAGTTGGGCTATTCAATATTCCCTGTGGGAGGACCCTCCATTGAAATCTTTTAACCGGTTGAGAATTATTATAAGTAGGTACTGTAAAAGCAAATCTTTCTGTCTTTTTCTTGTAAGGGTATTGAAAAGAAACAGTCTTTTAAATCAATAACTATGAGAGGCCATCCTTTTGGTAATAGAGTAGGCAAAGGCATCCCAGATTGTAGAGAGCCCATTGGCTGAATTACTTTGTTAATTGCTCTAAGGTCTGTTACCATTCTCCATTTACCAGATTTCTTTTTAATAACAAATACAGGAGAATTCCAAGGGCTGGTTGATTCTTCAATATGCTGAGCATTTAACTGTTCTTCTACCATCTCTTCTAAAGCCTGGAGTTTCTCTGTTGTTAAAGGCCATTGCTGGACCCATACAGGCTTGTCTGTTAACCATTTTAAAGGTAGAGCTGTTGGTGTCTTTGGAAGATCATCAGTTATTGTGCCCTGTTCTTGTATAATATGGATGGCTGGTGACCACTCATTAGAACAATATCTTCTAATATTTCTCTCAGTAACATGTGTTAGTTTATGATTTGTTTCTGAGATTGGAGGGATGTTAATCTTGAGTATTCCATTGTTGCAACAAGTCTCGACCCCACAGGTTCATAGGTATGTTAGCCACATATGGTTTTAATTTTCCTCTCTGTCCTTCTGGACCTATACATTCGAGCCATCTTGCACTCTGTTTCACCTGAGATAATGTCCCAATTCCTAACACTTGAACGTTTACCTCCTGAAGAGGCCAAGTTGGATGCCAAAATTCTGGTGCAATTATGGTAATGTCCGCACCTGTGTCTACCAGAACAAACTGAAATGTTCAGTCCCACAAAGTACACTTCTCTTAATGGAGATATAAAGATATGCAACAGGAAAAAAAAAACTAATTAAAACACATTAATAAAGGCCGGTAAAGTTCAAATACACTGGAATACATCAGAATATTTTAAGAAGCAGCCAAACACACATCTGTGTATGAATTAAATATGTGAATTACTGTTGACATGTATATTAATTAATCAAATTTTATGGGTTTTGAGACAAGGTCTTGCCATATACTCCAGGCTAGCCTCAAACTCACTATCCTGCCTCACTGTCTCATCTTCCCAAGTGTGGAGACTGTAGGTGTGCATCACTATAGCTGGCCTCGAACTCAGAGATCCACCTGCTTCTACTGAAATTAAAAACATTTGCCACCATGCCTGGCTTGGCTAGACCTCTTGATTGTTCTATCTGGTCTGACCTATGAAGAGGAGATGGCAGGAGTTTATGGCTCAGTTTTCCATTTCTGGTTTTTAAAAAATGTTACCAAACTGCAGACTTTTGTGAAATAGTGGGAAGTTACTTTGTATTTTAAGATGTTTGATTTGGCAAAAGAATACAGGATCCAAGTGTCTTTTGGAAGCACAAAGTAATTGCACTCAGGTGCTTTGCCTTTGTATTCATGTTTAAGGGATTATCTAGTTTGGAATGGTTTTCAATCCTCTCCCACTTATAACAGCCTTTTAACTTTAGGCAAGCAAATTTTGTTCCTCACTTTCTTCTCCCATGCCCCTTCATTTTGCCTTGGGAAAAAAAAAGCGGAACTTATGACTGGGTATATAGTATTGCACACCTATGATCTTAGCATCTGGAAGGTAGACACTGCATCAAGTCCAGGCAGCCGGGGCTGCACAGGGAGACCCTCAAACAGAATGTAAGATTTGGGGTTCAGATGGAAGTGCTTTGTTCAGGGTTTTGAGTGATAAAATAAAAAAATAAATAAACAGCTTGGTAAAGTAAAATTTATCATGCAACCTATATTTGTATAAAACAACATACTTTGTTCAAGAATAAATGGGCTGAGTGTCAGATCCAAGGCCAACAATGAATTTGACTTCAGGACCCCCGAGGTGTAATAACAGACCTGATTTCCTCAAGCTGTTCTCTGACCTACACACATACACACAATTTTTAAACATGAAAACCTGGGGGGACAGGAGATGACTCAGTGGTTAAGAGCATCACCTGCTTTTGCAGAGGACGAGGGTTCAACTCTCAGCACCCACATGGAGATTCACAACCATCTGTGACTCTAGTTTCAAGGGATCTGGCACCTTCTTCTGGCCTCTGTTGGCATTGCATACATATGACGCAGTACATACATACACGCAGGCAACATATCCATACACATGAGATAAAGATTTTAAAAATACAGGAAATTTTAAAAGGAATGAAGAATGAATCAGGAGTCATCCAAAGAGCAACTTATGGAAGTAGAAAAAAATCTCAGTTGCAGGGATCCTGAGCCAGACAGAAGGCAATTTCCCATCACAGCCGCCCTCAGAAGAGTGGTGCACACCCAGCACTCAGGAGGCAGAGACAGGCGGGTCTCAGGGAATTGGAGGCCAGTTCCAAGACAGCCAGAGTTACACAGAGAAACCCTGTTTGAAAAAACAAACAAAAGAGAGAGGGGGAGGGGACTAGAGAGATGGCTCAGTAGTTAAGAGCACTGACTGCTCTTCCAGAGGCCCCGGGTTTGATTCCCAGCACCCACAGGGCAGCTCTGTCTGTAACTCCATTTCCCATTGGCAGTGCTCAATTCCTAGTAGCAAAAAAACCCAAACCCAACACCTCCTATCTCACCTTCCTGACTCCTAACAGTCTCTTTACCCAACAAACTGCAGGCTTATGGAAAAACCAGCATGAGGGAAGTAAAAGGCGGGCAGTTTTGTAAATTTCCATGAAAAACTAATTTGCAGAGGAACTTTAGTTGTCCTTCAAAATTCTCTGGGAAGAGGAAGCAATCCTAACCCTAAACTTTCTATCTCCTGCACTTAACTTAGACCACAACACAGCACCAGACATGCAAGGTGTGGAAGCCAGCCCCAACAAAACAATTACCATTCTCTAGCTCAACTGGATTTGGTGTGTGTGAACCATGAAACTAACAGAGACCTTTGACATGAGAAGGAAAAGATTTAGAGTGCTTCCATTAAGGCCTGAGGATTTCATTTGCTTCAGAGAGCTGGCAGGGTTATTCTGAAGAGGAAGGCAAGCCTCATCAGAAGACCCTTCCTCAGTCTCTGGTGGGCGGGCCCCCAGGATCCAGCACATCCATAATTTATCATCAAATGCCCATGCCAACAAATTAATGCACAACGATTCCCTCCCCTACGATCCCACAAGGAGGCAACCTTTAAGTCTGAACAATGTGCCCAGGGGAAGAACCTAAAGACCCATCCAAGGCAAGGCTAAACCTGTATTTTCTCTTTCCTCTTTCTCCTCATCCTTTTTTCCCCAGCCCACTCTCTCCACCCAACTTAGAGCTGGAGAAAATGCCGCTCTAGGACCGGCTCCTAGCGTCCAGGTGCTCTTTCCTTTGTCCATAGCCACGCTCGTCAAAGACGCCAAAGCTTTCAAGCTTCGGGTTTTCCTAAAGTCCGTACACAAACGGTGAGAGGCAACATCGGCCTGGGAGCTATGGAGAGCAGAATAATGAGTCACTCCGCCTCGAGTCCATCAAACGTGTAGACCAGCGGCTCTGACCCGCTCAATGGACACGGACCCCGGGGGTGGGGTGGGGACACCACCAAGGAACCTCTCCACTGACCAGATTTACTCAGCTGGTAGGCCATCAGGCAAATCCCCAGCCTCTCGGCTCTTCGAAGGGAATGGGGTGACTCTTAAGGACAGCCTTCTAACAATCCTTTCAGAGTCCTGACACGGGTCTTTGGGGGTGCTTTAGCGAGGCAACAGAGAAGTTTCTAATGGGGGGGGCAGTTTTCGACGAAAAGGGAAAAGAGCGTGATCCGTTAAAAAAAAAAAAAAAAAAAAAAAA